CTTATAACTTCACAGCTTTTTATGCTTTTCTGCTGTTTTTATCGGAATATGCGTCTTTGTAAAGTTTTTCTTGGTTTTGCTCTTGAATTCTCCTTTGCAAAGCAAAGTTATTATAACCATAAACATTTTTTTTTTTACTCTTATGCACCTCTTTCGGATTTGCCCCTTTTTCCGGTTTGTCTTTTATTTTTTTCCAAGAAAGGAGGGTCACCGTCGCTAGGCTCTCCTCTCTCTCTTCCCGTTATCTCAAGCCTCTCCCGCGCCGATAACGCAGGCTTTCCGCGCGTGCAAGCCGCAGATCCCGGCTCTGTCCGATTCCCGCCCCCGCCGAGCTAAACAGATCCTCCAATCACCTTTTAGCCGCCGGCCGGGCGGGTGGAAGGATGTTTCCGCGAACCAATGCGCAGTGCAAGAAAAGGCCGCTGGCTTGCTTCGAGAGGCAAAGGAGGGTGCAGACGAGAGAGGGAAGTGAGCGGGGCGGAGAGAAAAATACAGACACGCTCACTTCCAGGCACGCTCACTCGCGAAGCAAAGGAAGCAGTTGCGAGAGAGACAGGAAGCCGGGAGGCGCGCAGGCAAGCGCGCGAGGGAGGGAGACCTTCGCGCGAGGCGTGTTGATTCTGGCCGGGGAGGCGGGTCTCGCTCTGCCCGTCCTCGCAATGGATGTCGCAAGAAGCTGAGCCCCCCCGACCTCGCTTGCCCCCCCTGCCAGCTGCCCCGCTCCATCCTCCCTTTGGGGCAGAGCTTGCACGTGGCGGAAAGGGTTCCTCTCGAAGGGTGAGTGCAGGCGCGGCGGGGAGATGAAGCAAGGGGAGTGCGAGATAAACAAGATTAATGGCTGGGAGTGGTTGCGGGGGGGGGGGGGGTGGGAGGCAGCCCGGATTCCTGGGTTCTCTTCGGCCGGGGTGGTAACGCTGGGGGACGGGGATGGTATGGGGCCCGGCGGCATAAGATCCAGGGGAGGGATGCAAGCGTCGGGTTGATTTAAGCAGGCTTCCTCCAAGTACCCAGCATCCTCCAGGTGTGATGGATTACAGTGCCCTTCGTCCCCAGCCAACCAGTGCGACGGGAGGGTGCCAGATAGACTCCAGAGAGTTGCGTTGGGCATTTTCATGTAATCTGAGGTATAAATTTGGTTACTTAAAGGGATGGGAGGGCCAAACCAGCTTATCCCTGCTAATTTTTTCCCCTTCTTTCCTCTCTGAGGATTTTTCAGCAATAGAGCCCTGTAACTGGTGGGTGACATCTTGTCATGGTGTCAAGAATTTTGTTTCAGAGGCTATTATTCCCTAAGATTTGCCCTTTGTTCCAGTGTCACTGGGTTGTTTATTGTGAAAAAAAAATGCATTCTGCATCTCCTCAGAGGCTATAGATCTGAGATCCTAAGCACCGTCTGGGTGGAATGGAAGCAGGCAGGAAAGAATTTGACAGGCCTTAAATTATGCTCATTTTTACAGCGCTGCCCTTCAACACAAAAACTACACATCTATTTCTGATGGAGCTTTATAAGGCTGCACAAAATTTCCCTGAAGGGTTTTGCTAGTCCTATTATTAAAAACTCTTCTGGTGTTACTCAAAATTCCTAGGATGTTTAACCTGAAGAGGAAATTCTCATTTTACTTTCAATGTCGCCTTTGGGCACTTTTCCTTAACAACATTAACTCAGTGCTTTCCCTTAACCTCTGTGCCCATAACTTGCACTTTTTTGCATCATTACAAAGTCTCTTTCCACACACATTTTGTGTTCTCTGTCTGTACTACAGCAGTTCCCCCTTCTTCCTTGTTTTTTTACATTGGCAGAGCTCTTCAGAGCCAGCTGGAGAAAAGCTGGCGTGAAAGGGTGTGTATAAAATCTGTGAGTGACTCACAAGAGGAGTTGGGTCCTTGGCCTTTCCTTCATCTGAATTGCTATCTACTTGGGGAGGGGTAGAAATTAGGGGAAGGTATCCTGGATTCTCTGGAGCTCTGATCTGTGTATGTGAGTACATTTAGTGACAACCTTGCTTTTAACACAAGTCAAGGAGTCTGACTTGTGGTGGGGAGAGAAGCAAAGGTTTGAGAAGACAGATGTTTGCAGGGAACAGCTGGGAGATAGCAGACTGGAGGTAGACATGGAGTGGCTTGTGCAACACCATGCAAAAGGGTGTGATTACTTTCCACTACTGAGAAAAGAGGACTTTTGTAAAGCTTGGAATGCAGTTATACAGGGAAACCATTTTTTTTAAGGGTTGCAAAAATGGGGAGAATGTTGCTCATTTGTGTCTGTTCTCTTGAATTCCATCTGACTTTTAATGTTCAGTAGCCTCTGCTGCTGGTACATCTGCGGTTGGCAATGTGGTCTTAAACTACTTGTATTCCTTCCTTTTTTAGCTGCTTGCTCCCCCCGTTTCCTCTGGTGTGTTGCTTATTCCTGAAATACCTTTCAACAATCTTGAGAAGTGAGATGTCTAAGACAAATAGATGTGTTTCCTCTTAATACCCTTAAGTTATCCTTTTGTATTTAATATGGCAAGAGCAGTCTTGGCAAAGGTGTGCTTCAGGCTAATATTTCAGTTCAAAAAGCACATATTTCCCTTGGTAGCATACCCTTTTCCCTTTCCTTATTATTACAGAATTTATTACTTTGCTGATTCATTGTTAAAAACAATCTCAGATGGTTTCTAAGCAGGCAGAAGTGTGTAACAGGAGATGTTGAACTTTTGCAGGCCTGAAGTGATAAAAAGAAGCGTTGCCTAGATTTCATTGCTGGTTTGAGAGCCACTGGAGGTGTAGAAGGGGGAACAATCAATCAGCAGCCTTCACTTGAGTCTTAGATGATTTGTCTTAGTCTTTCTCAGTTGGGACTGCAGTATTTGTAGCTGGTTCTTCTTCTCAGGATTGATAGTTGCTGGTTGCCTCCCTCACCGAGCAAGGTGGAAGCAACTAGCTTGCTTTGGTGGATTCCGAAATGCTATAGAGGATGAATCCTGATTAACACTTAGACAGATGGGAGGCAACCGGGTAGTCTGAGAGCTGTAGGCTAGGCTGGGAAGTTGAGGTCTATCTCAGAAGAGATCTCAGTTTGAATGAAACTTTAATAGCCTTGCTCAACTTGCTTAGTTGGCCTTTACGACTATCTAGGCCAATAATCACCACATCTTGCAGTGCAAATTAAATTAACACACATTGTGCTGAAAATATTTGTTTGGCCAGTATTGCTTTTTAAATCTATTATGAATCTGCTGTATCAAAATAAGAACTCCTTATCCCTGCCATCAAGATCTTCAGACCCCAGGTGTTCTGGCCTACCTGCTTTATGTTTCTGTGTCATGTGTACATGCAATCCAAAACCACTAGATCCCTTCCTATTTCCCCCTTCATCCTTTCTTTCACAAAATTCAAGTGCAGGGGCAGTATCACAGCCCTGTGCTCCATATTTTCAATATTTCTCACTTTGATCAATGTAGATTGACCCAACTCTGTATTTCTTGCCAGTTACAATGTCACCTGATGAATTTGTCTACTTGGCGGTCCTTCTCATCTCTATACCTGTTGGCTTCCTCTTCAAGAAAGTGGGTGAGTATGAAACCTGGAGAAGGAAATGCTGCTGTGCACCTCGTAAGAAACTGTCTTGAGTTTTATGTCAGAAGGCTTTGCCTCTAACTCAGCTCCTTGAAGGGCTTCCTGGTTTGAGCTTATAAGCAAGTTGTAAGGAATGCATCTCCAAAGAAGCTCTGAGAAGATGGGATGTGAGATGGGGCTGCTATCAATCCTTTTAAATGGGGATGGTGAGGAATAACAATACATGGGATCTGCATGTAGATACATCCCTGGCTATTTGTCATGATCCCTGTTCATGATTTCTGCAGTTTAAAAGATACTGGCTTCAAGATAGTTATTGAATTAACCTCTTTTCTAGGTTCACACAATACGGTGAGCCATAAATTAGTTGAACTGGCTCTGTTTGCCTGAAGGGTTTGCTCAAATTTTGCAGCAGAGGTTCAGATATGGATATGGGACAGAAATGGCATTGATCACTCTTGTGGATGACCTCTGATAAGACCTGGATGGAGGGATCATGGCTCTCCTGGTCTATTCAGTGGTCTTCAGTACCACTGACCATGGTATCCTTCTGGATCACCTGCCAAGTTTAAGGACTGGGGGCTCCGTTCTGTAGTGGTTCTGCTCCTTCCTAAGTGAGATATTTCATATTCATGGGCATGTGCAAAATGCAGCAACCTGTATGCTGGTGGGCAGGAGCCAATAGAGCAACACCACCCAATATTATGGATACTCCAGATGTCAGAGAGTAATTTCAGATGCGTGCTCTTGACAAATTTTGAAATGGCTTCATATGATAAAATGAGAAAATGGAATGGTATGGTTCTATATGGTATAGACTTAATAATATGTTAAAGGATTGAGTAGTTGTATATCAATATTATACAGATCTTTTTCTTTATAAGTTTGAGGTGTTTGTGTATGTATGTATATCATTATTGCATTGGTTTTATCTTTGTTAAATTTCACTAATAAAATAACATTTATTTTTGGAGAAATGGGTGCTGCATTGCTTACCACCATGGTTCCCCTAACTGTGCACCACAGTGCCCTGGGGCATCACAGTGAATTTTTCAAGGGAAATACAGCAGTACTCTACATTTTTTGGACTGGGTGCAAACTACTAGCCTAGTATCACTGGGTTTCCCTTGAAAATTTAAAATATCCCCCAGCATCCCAGTGAGTTCACTGTTACTGTAAACCCACAGTTCCCAAACTACATGCTATAGCATCCTGGAGCACTGTGATGCAGATTTTGGGAACTGTGGAGCACCATCAAAAAATTACTGAGACAATAAGGGTGCTGTGAAATGAGAAAGTTTGGGAACCTCTGAGTTATCAGTTTCTTCTAGGGTATAGTTCAAGGTGCTGGTCATTACTACAAATTCCTACATGCTACTTAGAGCAGTGTTTCTCAACTTTGGCAGCTTTAAGATGTGTGGACTTCAACTCCCAGAATTCCCTGCTGGCTAAGGAATTCTGGGAGTTGAAGTCCACACATCTTAAAGCTGCCAAGGTTGAGAAACACTGACTTAGAGGACCATCTCCTTCAGTGGGAACCTACCTGTCCCAGGAATCAATCCATGAAGGGAGCACTGGGTTCCCCTCCTCATCCCAGAGACAGGCCTTCGCAAGTGCAGTATTGTCCCTATAGAATATACTGCCCGTGAAATCCATATGACCCCCACATTCCCATCTTTCCACAGAGCTATAAATCAAACAAACAAACATGGATTGTCTCTATTCATCATATGTGTTGATTTTCCTTACTTTTATTATTATTGTGATAATTATGGTATGATGATTATGTTGTGAGTTTTATTTGGATGTAGCTGCCTGGAAACTCTGGAGCTGGGTGGGTTGTACAATCAGGCAAGCAAATAAATAAATATGCCTCAAACTCACAGCCCAGGGTATGGATCTTTTGACAATGGAGAAATGTGTTCCTCTCTTTTTTCTGTAGGTTGGAAGACCAAGAAATTTGGGGGAGCTGCTGTAGGACTTGTGCTTATACTGGCCACTTGCCAGATCCACATCCTTCACTCCCTTGTCACCATCCTGGGCACATGGCTTATTATCAATATCGCACCAAGGTAAAGGGACCTAACAACTATGGTGGCTGCAATGTGATCCGATAGTCGCAAGGAAATGGTCTGAATATAAAAAGCAAAAATGGAATTACAGGTTTCCTAATTTTCCTAAGTTCCAAAATCTAATGAACTGTGTGTGTGTGTGTAGGTGGGGGCAAGGACTTTGGAGAAAGGAACCTTAGCTTGTTAGGTGTTGGCGTGATTCACACATTCTGCTAAGCAGTTGTTTGCATAATGATAGCCCATAATTGTTTGGGATTACATAAAAACATCGGCCACGATCCCTATTTTCACAGACTATGCTAAACCAAAACCAAACAAAGCACATTATGGCATCTTAAATGTTAGGATGTCTGGATTCTAAAGGTTATCTGTACCCTCCTTAAGTGGGCAGAACCTTGTATACTGTCCCCAGCGCTGTTCAGATAAACTTGGCTCAAATACATTGTGTGGTTTCCACTCGCCAATTTGGCCATGGGGAATTTTCCCCTTCAATCCTCTGAAATGCATATCAGGTTAGACCAGTGTTTCTCAACCTTGGCAACTTTAAGATGTTGCCAAGGTTGAGAAATGCTGGCTGGGGAATTCTGGGAGTTGAAATCCACACATCTTAAAGTTGCCAAGGTTGAGAAATGGTGGATTAGAAGATTAGGCAGTATAAGTGGGAGAATCAGTGCAAGGATACCTATGTGTGCTTTTGAAACTGATGCAGAAAAAAGATTAATAATCATAGCCTCTGTTCTTTTTTAAAAACAGGACTTGTCACTACCTGACACTAGGATGGACATTTTCCTACTTACTTTTTTTCCGCACAGTTACTTTCTTCAACTTTCCACAGCCAACACCATTCACCAACGCTGTGCAACTTTTGCTTACTCTTAAGGTATCAAGTTGTGCTTGGGATATGGGAAGGAAGGGTGCTTAGCTTGAAGGGGAAAAAAACCCCTTTTCTGTGATTTTTGTTTCCCAGCTGCTGAGCTTAGCCAACGAGGTGCAAGAATTCATTCAGGCAAAGAAACAGGATGTGACGACATTCACCAAATCTTCAGTGATTGGTGTGATTCCCCAAATGCCAGGACTGGTGGAGATACTGTGCTACAGTTATTGCTATGTGGGGCTTATGACAGGTAGGTGAGCTACCTAATAGAAAGTGAAATATGCCTACAGGTATAAACACCTGTGATGCATCTTCCCTTTGACAGCCTTATGAGTGGTGGGTTTGTGGAGATTTTAAAATATTGGTGTCTTCCCACCACATATATAAGCATCAATAAGAGAAGACCCTGGCTGAAGATCATCTCCTTCCTGGTACAGTTTCTCTTTGAAGGAAAAGGTAGCTAAGAGATCAGACCAAGGTGAAAAGAATAAAGCCCACCCCAGCTTTGCTCTCTCGTCTGCTGTTCACATCAGCCGTCTGTGGATCTTGGCGTTCTGCCTGGTCATTGTGTGGAACCACGGGCTCTCTTCTTTTTGCAGAAGTGTGTTTGAGACTACCTTGCTTATCAAAAAAAAAAAGGTTATTCTTCCTGCTAGTCTGTATGTCTTTCGTCAGTTTTTCACTTTTACAGCTTCTCCTTTTTTGTTTTGTGAGAATTGCATGGAATGGCCATATGCTGCTGCTGCAGACATGAGGGTAGAAAATTACAGCAAAAAGTAAGAGACCAAGGGTTATGTTTCTGTTGCCAGAATCTGCAGGAAACCACAGAGTTGCACAACTAGCAAATCTTTGCATTCTTCCTAAATCACACACAACCTTAACAGAGCCTTTCCAAAACAGAAGCTCTCCAAATGTGTTGGATACCCTCTTCCATAACCCCCCACCAAGTTACTGGCTCTGGATTAAGGGAAATAACATGAACGCAACTGGAGGAAATCAGGTTATGGAAACAGTGTCTCAAGTAATTTGACCTCTCTCCCTGGCCTTGTTTTATTTTTCCACAGGCACTCTTCTCCCTCTGCTCATTGATCTTATTTTTTTATTTTTTTCTGTTTTTTGTACCCAGGGCCATTTTACCGCTATCGTACGTATCATGACTGGTTGAGCCAGCTCGACCCTTCTGTTATTCCTAGCTGGCAGCCACTGCTTTCCAGATCCAGAATGATCCCCGTCTTTGGAATGTTTTTTCTGGTTGTCTCCCACTTCTTTCCCCTTGAGTATGTCCGAAGCGATGCCTTCTACGAGAGAGGACTGCTCTTCCGCCTCTTCTACATGGTGCCCGTCTTTTTTGTCTTCCGCATGCGTTTCTATGTTGCCTGGCTTTGTGCTGAGGGCGCCTGCATTGCCGCTGCGTTTGGTGCCTACCCGGCTAGTGCCAAGGCTCGATCAGGCGGAGGACCTACCGTAGAATATGAGCCTTTGAGTCGGTGAGTCAAGGACCTGCTCACTTCTTTGGCTAAGAAAGTTCCTTCTCAAATATGAAGTGGGCTAATTCAAGCATGAGAATGGTATATGCATTTCTTCTCTCAGGATGCTGATCCCTTCCTAGTTCATCAATAGCTGAATATAAACTTGCAGATTTTTATTTAGTGTATGTCTATACTGCTTTCCCTTCCAAAAGGCAAGTTCTTCAAAGCAGATGGCAGGTTACCCCATTAATGAACACTGTAGGAAGAGAGCTGTGTTGGTGTGGGATAGCCCCAAATCAGAATTGGTTTATTTGAAAAGGTACTACCAGATTCCTTCTGTTAATTGACACTTTCAGTCTTTTAAGGTCAGCCCCATACAGAAAACATTTTTAAAGCAGTTCTGGGGATTAAAAATGCATGAAGGATGTGGTTTTCTCTTCTCTTGCAAGCAGATCAGCTAATGGGGAAGCATCCAGTATTGCCTATGATTATGAGACAATCAAAAACATTGATCCACACAGTACGGACTTTTGTGTCAAAGTGAAGGATGGCATGCGCTATTGGAACATGACTGTCCAGTGGTGGTTGGCGCAATATATCTACAAAAGTGCACCTTTCCACTCCTATGTCTTGAGGTGGGTCAAGTGACATTGGATTAAAATAAAGTATCATTCAGAGCAGGAAATAGTCTTTGAAGATGAAATGACAGGCTTGGCATGAGGGTGAACTGGGAGGCATGAGATAAATCGGGTAGACATGAGAATAGGCTGTAGAAACAAGTCTTGTGGAATGAGGATTCTGGAATAGGAGCTGCTTGTTTTGAAGGCTTAGGGTGAACACTGAGCAGATTTGGGATGAGATGGAGCAGTGACCTGTCATCAAAGGAAGTCAGAATATCTAAGTGGAGCTCTTGCTTGAAATAAACTCTACAGGATTGTGAGACTGACTGAAGTTGCATAAATCATCCTTTCCCATCTTCATGTACTCTAGAGATATTAGATTTCAGCTCCCATTATTCTCAAGCCAGCATGGTTTTTTGGAGGGTTGGCTGGAACCTCAAAGTCCAACACTTCTGTAAGTTGGGAAAGGCAGCTAAATTTAACAAGAGCCATGACAAAGTTAGGAATGATCGGGGGGATGTGAAGAACTCTGGGATAGGTGGTGCTTGAATTGCCTTGAGGGGATGATTGTAGGACTAACAAGACCCTTTTCTTCTTAGGACCGCCTGGACCATGTTTATCTCCGCCTACTGGCATGGGATCCACCCTGGGTACTACCTCAGTTTCCTTACCATCCCACTCTGCCTAGCAGCTGAGGGGGCCATGGAGAGTGGGTTCTTGAGGCACCTCTCCCCGTCTGGGCGTCTTTTTGGTGACTGGGTACAGTGGTTCCTGAAGATGAGGGCCTATGACTACATGTGCATGGGCTTTGTGTTACTTACCTTTGAGGATACCATTCGCTACTGGAGCTCAGTCTATTACTGCATCCATGTGGGAGCTCTGGTTTTCTTCGTGCTGGGAAAAGTGTTGGGGGCCCAGAGGAAACAGGGCTCCCTGAAGGGCAAGCAGGGTGCTCCAGAGACCCCCCAGCAGCAGGAATGAGAAGGCCAAGTGATGTTGCCATAAGCCCACAGCATGGAGTGCTACCATGGGCCCTGGAGGCTAAGGGAATAAATAAGACTCAGCGTAAGACTAGTTTTGATGTATATCATGACTGAAACTATAGTTGGGAATTGAAGGAAGTAATCTGAGATTGAACTCAGAAATCCCTACTTTTCATCTGCTTTGTGACAAGACGAAAGATTTTAGGAATCCTAAAAGTATTGCCACCTATGCTTCTCTACTCAGCACCAGGGGATTCTGAGAGAAGGAAAAATCTCTAAACTTCTAATCCTTTCCTTTGTTAGCTTTCTTTCTAGCTCTCGCTCTACTTCTATAACGCTCAGGAATCTTACTTTTTACTCCTCTCTACTCCTATTTTTCTTTCCTTTTTTTTTTTTTTTAAGTCCAAACCCCAGCCATTTTATAGGATAGGGCAAAGGAATTATGCCCCACTGCATACAGAACTACAACTCCCATGAAGTCCAGCCAAATTTGACAATGATTACAGGTGCTGGAATTTGTACTACAGCTGCACAACATTTGGAGGACCACACATTCTCTGTCCTTCACCCAGTAGGAATTTTTAATCAATTGCATTCTGTAACTTACTGGTCCTCATCTCTCACTGCCATTTTTATTTTCTTTAAATGTCATAGTATCCTTGAAAATATGTGGATTTATAGTATTCTTGAAAGGATGGATTTGGGAGTTTGTCCTTGGGTAGAAAAGAGGTGGGAATGTAAGCCAACCAGATTTGGGCTGCAAAAATCAGGATGGGCACTAGAGGGCAGCAAAGAGATATAGAACATTCTAACCCTTTGCTCCCATTTAATGGTCGTCCATATTTTTGCAACCCAGACCTAAGATTTAACAAAAAAAAGCTCTATCCAAATCAAATGTTTTTTATCACTTCTACAGTGAGATGTGCAAAAATGTGTTAGGACTCACAAAATCTTGAATCGGTGACCCTTTTGCTCAAAGAGGTGAGATTCTGGGAGGTAACGAGGTTTTTACAGGGCTGGAACCTGTTACAGCAAAAGTGATGGAATCACAAGGATTGTTTTTTTAATGTAGTGGTACAGGTGGGGCTGGTGAACTAGCGGAGAAATCAGATGTTGCACACAAAGACTGCCATATTTAAGTATGTTAATGTTGAGTAGAAGGAACTAATGCATGTTCTACACGTTTGATTTTTCACCTATGATATTTGGGGGGCTGAAAAAAATTAAAACATTTTAGGGCATACAGGGCTGTACTTTATGGGGCCCAAAATGTATACACTGAGTATGAAAAGGTGAATTTTAGTTTGCAAAACATAAACAAATATTGTAACTATCGGAAAAATGATTGCTCAGGTAATATGTTTTTGTCTTAAGGAAAACTACAAATGAACCTGCTTGTGTCTGCATTCTTTTTGGTCCAGGACAGTATCATTTTATTGGAAAGCTTATTTGGAAAATAAAATGTTTTTTTTTTTTAAACAAAACAAAAACATTAGTCTTTTACAGAGTCACTTCTTGCTTCTTGCTGAACAAAGCAGCAGAGGACATGTTAGGCGTCAGGTTAGATGAAAAGTAGAAGCCTCTCCCAGAAAGAAGCAGACAGCATAGGCTCAGATTTTGGCTGTTACTGTAAGGGTAACAAATCATTAACTGTTTATTGTTTATGAGATTATCCAGTTTATGTACCAAGATACTTTGGCCCCCCGGGATTTTCAAGTCAGTTTGTCCCAAGGGTAGCGCGAGGGCTAAGTTCTCTGGGCTGAGGACTACCCAGAGGAAGCTTTTGGAGCCCCTAGTAAAAAAGGAAGAAGAGTATCACCATTAAGTGTAAGTGTGTGAAATAAAAAACCCTAAGCTTACTCTACTCTAGCCTCACATCTCATGAATGAAATCCAGCTCTGAATTAGATAGGGATCCCGCCCCCCACATGCCGCATCCTTCATTCATTTAAATCTCTCTCCTCAAATGTCAAACCCCAGAAACAAGGTATTTAAATATATTAAACTCTGCAATTTTTCTGCATGGATATATGAGCAAAGACCAGATTAGGAAATTAAACATCTCCCCTAAACACGAATCAAATGTGCTACAACTTTCTGCAGTTCCACTTTGATCTTTCACCACGTTCTTTTCGTCCCCTCTTTTAAATGAGGTTGTTTGGAAGAGATGCTTTTTATTTCAGAGCAGTTTTTGCCCGGGCACCAACAAACCTCATTCCCAGAAATACTGTTATCTCTGCTGCCTGAAGAAGAACTAGATACTCCGGAACGGTATCACAGCAAAGCTCAAAGTGAGAAGGAATAAACAGAAGTTCAAAGAAGCAAGTCCCCGGGCGAAGTCCAGCTTCCTCTGGACTACATTTCCCAGAGTCCCATTGGCGATGCAAAAAAGTGTCGATTGGGTGGCATTCCACAAGCAGCTGATCAAAGCACTCGCTCGTGTGGCATGGCTCGAGGGCTTGTTCGGGCAGCGGAGCTAATTAACTTGCTGTGCGCTGATGCTGCAGCGGGAGGAAGAAGAGCAGCAGCCTCCACAGATGATAGATGCCATTTGTCCCTTTAAGGTGAAGGGATCAATAACTAAATTGACAATATTAATTGCATAGCTTTAGAGTAGGCGTCGAGTTTTTTATATATAATCAAGCTTCAATACTAATAGCAATTAGCAAAATTGTAAGAGGAACAAAGCTCAGATAACAGGGAAGACTCCTCCCGAAACTAAGTTAGAGGCCTGATAAGGAAGGAGGACCCCAAACAAGGGTCTGAAGGAACTGATAAGATAGAAGGGTTAGGGGCAACTCCTTTAAATTTAATGTAAGCAAACAAGGGCGGGGAATAATGTATTCTCTTTAAGTTTCTTTGACTGGCTGTAAAACTCACCTTCATTATAATGGTACTAAGTTCTGCCTTTTTAAAAATACTATAAAAGGGCAGTGTTTTTGTCTCCAAAGTGTGCCACCCTGCTCTCTCTTGGTGCAT